TCTTTCCTTTTTTTTTTTTTTTTTTTTTTTTGATACATGTAAATATTTCACTTAAAATAAAAATTTTAAAAATGATACACAAAAGAAGCCTCCTCCAAAAATGGAGATTAGAGTCCAAATTTGGCTTTTTCCTAGGTGAGAAAAATATTTAACCCATTATCTTAGCCAACTTCGGCTAGAAGCGCTCCCACCACCATCAAGCACCGGGTTCTATGTTAGCAGGTTAGAAACAGAAGCTGGAAGGTGAATACAGGCTGGAGTCTGCATAGCAGATGTGGAAGTCCCGACTAACATCTAAGCCTGAGCTCTTGTGACACAGGCTACCTCCTGCCTCCTGCTTTTGCTATAAAGTAATAATAGAAATCACTAATATTTATTGAGAGCTTATCAGGTACCAGACCTTCTCATCGCAACCCTGTGAAGCAGATATGATTGTCCCCACTTCACAGATGAAGAAATAAGTGACAGACTTGAATGGTTTCTATTGTTAGAATGAAACATAGGAATGTTTAGCCGATATCTGTCTCATTTTTCATCAACCTATTTAGAAGATTGTGGCAATATTCCATAGCTTCTAAAAACATTTTTATATGGGGGTTAGGGTTGGCATTTGATTGTTATTATATATTGTATTTCTTTAATTCCTAATTGATCTTCCAACTTTTAATTTTACTTCCCTTCAGTTCATTCTTCATCCTGCATTTCAGGGTAGAATTGGCTTCAAAAACATTTTCAGGTCCTACCACTTTATCATTATGACACACTGTGATTGATACCAGTATAAGCAAACCAAAAGGCCAAATTTCTGCAGGATTGCAGAGCAGGGCTTGGAGCCTGTCCACCATTGGGCAATGACAGCCTTGTCTGCCAGAGGTAATGCTTGTCATCAGGAGATGGTAACTAGTGATACCAAAAAACCACTATAGAAAGAGCCCAAAGAGCCATTAATCAATGTTCATATTTACTGTTGATAAGAAAGATACAGAGTAAAACACAGCCACATGTTTGTTCCTTTTTGTAAGAATCATTTTGGTGTATGTCTTGTAATCAGAGTAATTGTTTTAAAAATAATAATACACAATGTAATGATTTATTCTCATTATTTTGTTATGAAATTTTATTTTATTTTTCCATAAAATTTTAAAAATTGTAAATACCTCTGAAAGAATTCACTGAAGCACCATTTCCCTTTGTCTGGGGAGCTCTGATAGGAGATGGCATGGGAGGGCCACTTCCCATATGCACCCTTATAACCCTTTGGAACATGTACACAGTTACACACGTGTTGGGTGATATGGTGCCATGTATTTAAATCAAACAAATACAGAAATAAAGTCAACTTGTTCATTCTAGCTGGTATGGTTTTCAGTATGTGCAGTATTTGAGAATTACAGGATTCTTAGCAGTTTACAAAGGAGAAACCTGCTGGACTTGTTGGCATACTTCTCTAATTCCAGCATTCTGGGGCAGGAGGATTGCCACCAATTCAAAACCAGCCAGGGCTACATAGTGAATTCAAATCTAGCTTGAACTACCAGCAAGATCCTCAAAAAAACCAAAACAACAACAAAAAGCAGAAAATGACCATGATCATCTCTTAACTTCTATATTACAGAATACTCTTTGATGTGTTCTTTCAATTGATTTTTATAGGAAGTTCATCTTCATTTTAAGATGAAGGAACTGAAGCTATAAGAAATTATGATTGCCTAAAATAACATAGTTAATCAGATTCAGTGTGCCCTGCAATATATTTATGTCAACTCTCCCTGCTTAATTCTTAGCTCCTGACACTAGACTATAATCTAAGCTTTTTACTCCCAGTCCAGTGTTGTCACGTAGTGATGGCTGAGGCAGAAGCCAGGGAAATTGTGTCATCTTCCCCCTTCGTGGTTTTGGATAATATAGGGAAAGAGATGACTCTTAAAGAAAATAAAAAACGGTATTTTAAGAAGTTTCTGTATGTGGAAATCATTGGAAAATAGAAACAAAGTTAGTTTTCTAGTTTTAATTTCCATGTGAAGAGGCAAATTTCATATCCCTAATTTACAGGTTTAATGTTGCAACGCATTCCATTTATATTGTTGTTAACTTGTTTTTGCAGTGCTGGGGTGAAATTCAGGGCCTCATGCACTTGCATGCTAGGCAAACACTTTACCTCTGAGTTACATCCCCAACCCAGCTTGAAGTTGTTTTCAGATGCTAATTCTTCTTAAAAACTTTACATGAACTGTATTTTCTGTAAAATCCCAGTGATAAACTTGTCAAATGGCATGTTTTTTTAGGACTGAATAAACAGTCATAAAATAAAGAAATAATTTACCAAGTTTCCAATTCACTGGAACAAACCTTAAGCCTTCAGAAAGTGTTTCAGAAACAAGGAAAGGAGGTAGGATATCATCAGACTTGAGTTGTTTTTTTCACATGGATACATTCATAGTTGAAGTGAAGTCAAATGCTAACAGGATAACCTGTGGCACTGGTTATATATAAATATATATAAATATATTTTTACATTTATATATATATATATAATAGAGAAGAGATATACATTCACACACCATCTGTGGAGAATTGAAACACCTCTTAAATAGGACTATCTGAAACTCTTGGGAATTTTATAGTAAAGCTTAGCTAAATATTTCATGTAACATTTTAAGATGCAGTCATTTATAGTCATTTTAGTGTCCTAATTTCTGTTTGTTTTCAGATTAGAAAAAGCAAATATTTTCTATGATATTTATATCTGGGAGCTGCCAATTGAGCCCAACTTCATAAGGCTTATCTTTATAAATAAATCAAATAGCATAATAAGGAATGACTTTGCTTTTATGTATCTTTAAACAGAAGCAGTGTTAAAAGACCTCTTTTCTTCTTCCTGAAAGTAAGCACTAGTCTTTGTAAACAAGCACAGTGTACCATTTACCCTCCCAAATTTATGCAAACCTTGGATCCAGGTGTTATCTCACATTATGCTGCTGCAGAAGACTTTGGAAGCTGCAACCAGCCCTGGGTTCTCAAGAGCAGGCAACAATCTAGCACTCACAGGCCAGCTAGGGCCTTCCCTTGATGACACAGGCACTCTTGATAGCACAAGCTCTTGCATCTGTTTTTTTTTCTTTCTTTCTTTCTTTCTTTCTTTCTTTCTCAGACTGTGCTCTGTTGGCTTGCTATTTTGATAGTAAGTCTCTTCTCAGATCTGTGTCTTGATTTTGGCACTCCATCTTAATATATTGGTTTCAGCTTCTGATAAATGGATGTACCTGATATTATAGATCTGCATAAAATTTCTGTATCCATTTAAAATATCAGTTCAGCAAGCAGGTACAGTATGCGCTAAGCACACTATTTATATGTATGAGGCATTAAAAAAAAGTTTTGGAATTTATTATCTGCCACACACCCTGAAAGACCTGTAGGATACAACAGAAAGCACAAGTGTAATGCTCACCCTCACAGATCATGTGGATTAATGGGGAAGAGATGATTAGTCAAAGACAAGTCAGAGCAAAATGCTTACCGGTTATAAAGAGTGACACGAAGTCAGGTGAGTGCAAAACAGCAGGAGTTGGCAATAGAGTGGGCAGAAAAACTGACCTCAAGGATGAGAAAGATCCACCAATAGAAAGAGTACTTGAGAAAGAGGGAACAGAAAAGAGTAAAGCTTTTGTGAAGGAAAGAACTTGACACTCTCTTCTAGGAACTACCAGAAGGCCAGTGGACATTTGGAATACCAGAGAGAAAAAACATTAGGAAAGAGGGAGGTGGGAGAGAAATAAACTGCCAGACCAGGATAAGATCTGCTAGACTAGGACACATTTGCATTTGATTCCCAAGTACAGTGGGAAGATTTGAAAGACCTTATGCAATGGAGAGATTTGCTCTAATTTCTTCTTTTTATTCTTGAAAGATAATTCTGACAGCTTTTGGAAAACAAAGCAAAAGGTGGCAGCAGGGTTGAAAGGGTAGTGCTGAGAGATCCCTTAACATGTTTCAGCCTTCTTAAACCACATGCATGACTGTCCCATCAGGTGGCTTGTACCACTAGTGGTACAAACAGATTTAATCACTTTGGTTGGTCTTTTTCTTAACAATATAAAACCACCAGCTGGAGCAGTCATGACATAGGGTTGGTAGTTCAAGGCCTTTGGCAATGAGACATATGAGTTACAACCCCATCAGGACCATACTAAACAACTGCAATATGGGAAAGAAAAGAACACAGCTGAGACTAGGCTCCACAGAAGTGGAGATGAGAGGAGCAACTCAAGGTGCATTTCAAAAGTAGGGTCTGCAGGATGTGCAGATCAATCAGTGGTTCATGCAGAAATGAAGAGAAGTTTTTGACAGGAGAACTGGGTGACCCATAGTGCACATATGGAGTGGAGAAGATGACTGGCAAAGCAAGTTGAAAGAGAAAGTCAGGGTCTGATATGGAGGAGGGGTGTCCACATGGGACCCTCCAATGGGTTCCTAAGTACCTGAAAAGGGAAGGTGTAAATCAGTTCCCTGTAAGCTGACAGACAGTTCAGGAATCCAGATGAACAGTTCCTGCCTTAGGAACTCAGGGAAGATGACAGCTCTATATAGCAGAAACTGAGTACTACTGAGTACTGAGTTTTGTTGTGAAAAGGGTAGCACGTTAGGAGCCTAAGACCTGGCAGGAATAGAGGCTCCCCAGCTATTACTGTTGATTTTTCATAGGGGCCTTTTCTACAAGAATGCATAGAGTAACTTACCTTCTGGCCCCTTTCCTTTCCCTGGGTGAAGTTCATTTTCTACTGGGTACCCAGAAACTCTTGAGAGTTCATGATAAGGACCAGGCTGTCCCTGTGGCACCCTCCTAGATCCACATCTGGGATTGAACTGTCTTTAGATATTTTCTTAGGGGACTCTGACAATACCAATCCTCTCCCTCCCCACCTTCCATATAATCCTGTCTTTGTGTACAAAGGTTATGAAACACCTATTCACGTTGTTTTCATTTATCTTCCACTTAGGTTTTATGGCAGGCACACAAAGAAATCCTCAGATGTCTCAGTATGGGCCTCAACAGACAGGACCATCCATGTCGCCTCATCCTTCTCCTGGGGGCCAGATGCATCCTGGAATGAGTAGCTTTCAGCAGAGTAATTCAAGTGGGACCTACGGTCCACAGATGAGCCAGTATGGACCACAAGGTAAAAACAAATGTTCTCCAAAATACAATGGCAAACGGGTGGAGGACATTGTGCTAATTTGCTAGTCAGTCCTTCAAGGTTTCCTATTACAAATGCATTTTAAGCTTCCCATATTTGTTACCTAATAGAGTAGGAGAGAATGTAAATCCATAGTTCTTTAGATACCCATAGGAGGAGAATCATTGTAGCCACTGTTCCTTAACCATTTATGCATCAGACACTGGCAAGCATTCCTTGTTTGAGTGAACTCATCTGTACAATGTAGTTTCAGGTGTTTATAGACAAACACAGCCCTTGTCCTCCGATTTCTAATTTAAAACTTGGGATTTGTTGGGTGGAATTTATATTTTGGTGCACCTTCTCAGTAACCTCCATTAGGACATGAGCTGCCGGTTCAGCAGAACGTCACCCTGTGCAGCATCAGGTGAACAGCAGTTGTCACTGTCCCAGTCACCATTGTCCTACTCTTAGAAAACATGACAGAACCTGACACAGATACATGCTTCTCCAAACAGAAAGAGAAAGGAAGAGTGAGAGAATGACTGGAGCTACGCCCCAGATATCCTGTTTACATCCTGCTTTCCTAGAAGCTGCTATAGGTTTTGTCAGATCCATGTAGAATCTTGCAAGCCTTGTAACCTGGTATCTATTTTATTTTTTGAAGTCATGTTTAGCAGTAAGTCATTTGAATTTAGCACCTTCTTCATGTTTTGTTTACTTAGATATTAATAGATAATTTTGAGAAAATGAAATAACGTGGCACAATTCCTGCAGTTTCTTCATTTCTGATAATCACAGGAAGTTTCCAAGTGGAGATTGAATGCCCAAGAAGAAAATGTATTTAAGGCTCATCACTTCTGCACCCACGCCAGGCCAGCCCCAGAAATGCCTTGCATCTCGTAGAAGGGCTTGCTTCTTTTTTAGCCCGGAGCCCAGCCAACCTTTGACAAGGAGCCTTTGAAGCCCAGTGTGCATCCAGGAATACCGCAGCACCTCTGGCTTTTCCCTTGGGGTCTCTCAGAAACGGTTCTTTCTTGTATAGTACTTTACAGTTTGGAAAATAAGAATTAGTATATTAGCAATGGAAGTAGTTTGGAAAACTCTTAGAAATACCCAAAATAAAACTGCGTTCAGTGCTACACACCTGTAATCAGCACACTAAAGGAGATTGAGGCAGGAAGATCAAAAGTTTGAGCCTTACTTGGGCACTTTAGTGAGACCCTGCCTAAAAATAAAAATAACTAGGATAGTGTCCCCATTGTTCAATGCCAGTACCACAAAAAAAAAAAAAAAAGTGGGGGGTGGGATATCCAACAACCCTTTCTGTCAAGTCCTTTCATGCCTGTGTCCATGTGTTAGAGTGAATAGACTTCCGTGTTTCATGTGATTTTCATTACACTGTATCATAAACAGGTTTTCACATTATTAATTCAAGCAACCCTTGGGAATTTAGTCCCGATGGACAGTAATAGTGCACATGCACCTGTTGGCCCCAGGTAATTGTGATACATAGCAGTTTGTTACTGAGCTGAGGCAGGATTATGAGTCACTCCCCTGTGACAGTCCACCTGCCTGCCACCCTCACTGGGCACAGTGCGCCTTTTCAAAACCAGTATTTTTTTAGCTGCCCTGGAAAAAAGGAAACTATAGAGAATTGAAAAAGCAGTTTATAAATTATGGTTAGGACAGAAAATGTGGACTTTGCTCAGAATGTAATTGGAGACAAGATTGGAGTCCCTTCCTCTGCTCAGAATAACTGAAAACTAAGCCTTGTACTATCACTGAGTTATTTATGAATCAACTTCTAGTTTAATCTGTAGAAATTGGTAGCAAGGAAGGTAATTTCTGTAGAATAGGTTTCTTTTTTAATAAATTCCCCAGTTTTCTGACACATTAAATACGAAGACTTTTCATTTAAGAGCGCTGACTGTGGGAGAATTTTCATCTATTTTGCTGGGTGCCCTTGGAAAATTGCTTACTCTCTCTGAGAATTATAGTATTTTAGAAAATGAATTATATTATCTCAGATACCGGTACCATTTTCATTGTTTCATTAGCCTAAATCTTGCTTTAGCACTAGGGCTTGCAGTCTAGCCCATAAGTGAGGTTATAATGTCAGGTAGACATTTTGGAGCTTTTAAAAAGTTGTACCTACTGAAGTTGGTTGGTAGTAGAAAGAAATTGAAACAAAGTTGATGGTTTCTATGCCCAGCATTGTCTGGTGTGTGACAACTGAGAGAGTTCACTGTCCAAGGCTTGCATGTGTGTGTCCTTGCACTTTCTCTTCTCTATAGGGGGCCCAACCCACAGTATACTCTGAGGTGTGGCTCTTCCTGGCATTGTGCACTGGCATTAGTTACCATCAGCTGGTCTTACCGTGTTCAAATCCAAACCTGATCTCAGCAGGTCTCAGCAAACCCCAAATGACAGGAAATGACACGTGCTACAGACAGTTCAGCTTAAGGAACATTCTTACCTTTCCATTTCTCTTTGTTAGTCCTTTTAAATAGCAATCCAAATGACTTTTTTTGTTTGTATTTTCCTCTTAACTAATTACAAAATTTTCAGTAAAGCAATCAGCTTGCATCTACATAAGTTTTAAGTCCCTGGGAAGATGAACTTGTATAGAAAACAAGAGGTCATTAGTCTCTGTTAACAACTGGATAACATTCTTGTAGGGTTATATACTTGTTATTGGTTTTAAGACATCTCAGAGAATGGTGTTATACAACCTCTTTGGTAACCATTTTGTCATCAGGAGTGTCTTTTCCAAAACTGTCATTAATAATAGGCAACATTTATTAAACACATCACTATTGTCTTCACTACATGCTATATGATAGATACAATTACTGCTCCGCTTCACAGAGGAAGAAACTGAGGTGCAGCAAAATAGGCAAATGCTTTCTCTAGGGTACACAGTGATTGACAGAGTCCAGCCCAATTCACGGCAAACTGAGGGACCTATTCTTTGGGTATATGGAAAGCCTTGAGAGGTTCAGTAATTTACCCATGATCCAAAGGCAAAAAGTGGCAGGACCAGGGTTCAAACCAGTGGCCTCAGTCATGAATTGGCCATCCCCTAGGTTGTTTTTTTTTTTGTTTGTTTTGTTTTGTTTCGTTTTTTTGTACTGGGGATTGAACTCACTACTTTGTGCTTGCCAGGCAGGCACTTACGGTGCTGAGCTAACCCCAGCATCCCCAAGCTTCTTGCTGTCCTTTCATTTATTGAGCCACTAGGAAAGCAGAAGCCAGAAGCAACTGCTTACCTTCAAGGAGCATTTTAGGAATATAGGGAGAGAAATGAATCAAAACACTAACATAATTAAAAGTATTCCTACAAAATAAAGAATGCGAAAATGTTATAAAATCGTCATTATGAAATTTACAAATAAGGTGAAACTAACCTAACTGTAAAAAGGTTTAATTATAGTATGTATTGTGAAATAATAGTTTCCTACCTTTAGGAATGCACATGTAATAACTACCCTTGCAAAGCATTTGCAAGGCAAGAGGACCACAGAGAGTCACAAAAAACAATTATGTAATTAACATTAACTATTAATAAACAAATTTGTATGGGGAAAAGAGCTGAAGTCCATTTCATCTTCATAGTCTTTTTTATTTCATAAGGACAAAGATTTTTCCAACTTGATTTCGTGCTTTCTAGGAAAGCATCTGTCATACTGACCATCCACAAATGCTTTCAGCGTATTTACTATTAATTATAATTTTGACTTGTGTGAAGCCAATTATTAAAGCCAGTAGCACTCAAGAGGTAAAGTCTTCGAGTCCTCTTGTCTCACTCACTGACCCAGCATGCTGTTGTGGCAGTGGGCACCATGTGTCACTTGTGTAATAGCATGTGGGAATCTCTGCAGGGATACCACATATATATTGTACACAATGACATAGCCCTAGTTTTCGTTTTTATAGTGTGTGTCTAAGGAAGCAAAGACTTTGAATTAGGTAAATCTGATGGGCTATTTTTCTCAATTTTATAAAATGTAGTTTTCAGAAGGGTTAAAAATTTTTCCTCTAAAATTTCTCATCTGAAATTTTCCTCTTCTTTTTTCACAAAGTCAGAAAAGGTAAACTTCAAATGATATTCAGCTGAAAAATGAATCAGATTCTAAAATAGTGACATAAACTAATAATCTTGCACCATTTTGCTTCTAGAAAAAACAGGAATATTAAAAGTTAACTGTTTGAAAGCACTTAAAGGCCTTTGTTGTCACCATGGCCCAGGATTTCCAGCAATACTCTTTTCTAGTCTAGATTGCAGTCTTGTGACCTAATAAGTCATGGACACATCGCTTTTGGTCAGACAACAGATAGGACTGGACGAGAGAAAATTCTTAGTCTTCCGCTTTCCAAAGGCTGTTTCTATATGGGTCACACCCCCTAGTTACTCATTTTGTTTTTGTCTTGAATGTAGACAAAAACCGGTTGTAATATACTTGTATATTATGATTGTAATATACTTGATGGGGTATAGCTTATTGTTCTCTTATTTACATATTTAAATTGATAATATGAAGCAAAATGATTAATTCTGTATTCTATACTGTTTTGTTCCATTAAAGGAACATTATCTCTGTCTTACTAAGAGCAGAAAATCAATTAGATCATTTTTTAGCAAAAGAGATTTAATGTAAACAAGTCTTCTTTTAGTGCTCTTTAATTTTAGCTTAAATTTAACTAGAGTTACAATAGATAAGCATCACTTTCTTAGACTGTTATTCATTATTTGATCAAAGTCAGTGAATTAGTAAAAAAGTCAAAAATTGTAGTACAAGTCAACTTTAAAAGACCCTTAATTTTGACTTGTGTACAGCACTCCAAAGGGTAGAGTCCTTTTGGCTCACTCACTGACCCAGCAGTGGTCACTGCTGCCTCTCTGGATCAGGATAACTGTTTACCACAGTGCAGGAAAATATAGCACATGGAGGTCTGCAAACTGCCTTTTCCTAGAGCTGGTAATTCTGCCATTCATCAGA